CGGAAAACCGGAGGCCTTCCGAGCCTTCGGAGAAGGCCTGCCCCGTCTCGCCGCCCTCTCTGGGCTCGCTCCGATCTTGAGTGCGCACTGTTCGGCGACGAAGTCCGAACCCTACCCTCGCCAATCCACGATTCAGGCAACTCGATGAGCGGTGGGGACAGGATTCGGAATCCGTCGAGTACGTTGCGAAAATGGAGCCCAGCACCCGCCTCCCATGGACGAGAATTGATTGGCTCCGCGTTTCTCAGTAGGCGTAGGGGGGGGGGGGCGCCGCCCTCGCCGACAACCCCAAAGCGACCCCCGTCGCGGGCAACTAACCCGCCCACGCTTGCACGACGACCGCCACGACGACCGCCACGACGACCACGACGACGACGACGACGACGACGACGACGACGACGACGACGACGGCAACGGCAACGGCAACGGCGACGACGACGACGACGACGACGACGACGTGCCCGAGGGGCGGGCGCCCTGCGCGCGTGCGGCGCCCGGAGGCAGCTGCGCGCGGTGCTCGACGAGGGCCGCCCGAGGATCGTCAAGTACTTCAAGTTCCCGCGAGGCCGGCGCGCTGCCGCGGCTGCTTTCTTCCTCCTCCTCCTCCTCCTCCTCCTCCCTCCTCCTCCTCCTCCTCCCTCCTCCTCCTCTTCCTCCCTCCCTCCCTCCCTCCCTCCCTCCCTCCCTCCCTCCCCCCGTGCTCCCTCCGCCTCCATCTCCCTCCTTCCTCCCTCGCTCCCTTCCTCCCTCCCTCCCTCCCTCCCTGCCTTCCTGCGCAGCCGCTGCCGCGGCGGCGCACGCCACCGCTCACCAAACCACCCCAACCCAGCGCGAAGGCCCCAGACTCGAGGGAGGAAAAGCCACCCAGACCGGACAACTGGCGTTTACGAAACGGCCCTGGGCGTGTACGAAACAACCTTGCCCTGATGGATTCCTTCTCTGAGGGCGCGTTCACGAAACGGCTTCGCGTGTCGGGGTGGTTATTGTCGGGGTGGATTTTTGTGCCCTCTAGAGAACTCCCGAATTTCGGGCCGGGGCGTGTGTGCGAGTTCAGTCGCGTTTCCTCCGTGTTCTGGGGAGCGCCACCACTGGTAATTGTCGAGCCTGACGGCGGCTTCGGGTTGGGGTGGTTTGGTAGGCAGTCAGCACGGCAATCGGAGGGCGCCGACTGTACACTTCTGCCCAGGCGATCCTAGTCCCAGGCTCTCCGAGGAGGAAAAATTCCCGATACCGCTACCCTGGCCTCGTTTTCCTATTTTTGGGCATCTTGGGCGGCCCTCGTCGCCACCGCTGGATTCGCCTCGAAATTCTTGTCAGTACGCACCCCAGGCGAGGTCCAGGGAGCAACAGTATTGTACCTTTGGGTTTCCCCAGGGTCGGTGTATGTGCCGCCGTGCCCAAGAGCGTATGCGGTAGGCTCGAGTCGTGTCGACCAGCGGCGACCCCACCGCCCGCGTTCAACGTTGCACGCCGCCAGCGGCCCAGAATCGGTCGATGGTGAAAGAGTCGAGGTTTCGGAAAAGGCCGATCGTTCCAGGCTGAACGATCCCCGCGGTGTCAAAAGCCAACGCCAAAGTCTTGGCATCGCTCGGACGTGTGCACTTTTTCTCGGCGAGAATCATCGAGGACCATCCTGGACCATCGAGCCAAAAAGACGCGCACGACACCGAAAAATGCACGGGACTTGGACGTCCGAGCGACGGCACGAAGTGAGCGCGGCGCGAGCCTGCCGCGCACCTCTGCACCGTCTCCGGCGGGGCGCCGATGCCGGGCCAAGGAGCCCTGCGCGTGGGCCTTCGCGCCCGGAGGCCACGGGGGCGTGTGCGCCGATCCCGGGCCCGGGATGGGCCTGGGCCAAAGTCGGGCCTGTCCCCAGGCCATCCCTCCCCCCTCCTCCCTCCTCCCTCCTCCCTCCTCCCTCCTCCTCCTCCTCCTCCTCCTCCTCCTCCTCCTCCTCCTCCCCCTCCTCCTCCTCCTCCCTCCTCCTCCTCCTCCCTCCTCCTCCTCCTCCTCCTCCTCCTCCTCCTGCCACAACTGGGGGAGCTGTGGTCCTTACCCCCCTGGGGGACCCATCGATTGCGACACCCTTCCCGAGAGATCGTCGATAGTCTGGGGAGTATGTTTTGAATCTGTTTGGGCATCTCTGGGGTATTGTTTGACGATTTTTATGTTTCGTCCAAAATCCCCCTGTAGGGGGACAGGCCCGACCTACGCCTGGGCCCAGGATGCCCTCCTGGACTACAGTCGGGCCGCCGAAGAAGGAACCAGTACCGTTGCGGAGGGGCGCAGTGTTCCCTGATGAGTTTACAGCTTGTCTCGGGTGTTCCTCCGGTTCTCCATGGTAAGTCGAAGTTGAATTTATGCAGAAAAAGGGGCCTCTTTCCTCATTTCGGGTTCCTTGTGACAGCGTTTCGACTGTAGGCCTCCCAGATGGGGTCCGCAGATGGGGTCGGAGGATCGCGTGGCATCTAATGCATCGCCGCTGCGGCTCGATGCGGAGCTCGATGTCCTCCACGCCGACGGCGCCGACGAATCGCCGGCGTCGCCAGTGCATCACCAATGCATCGCCGATGTATCTATCGGCGATGCAGCGCGATCCTCCGACCCCACCTAGTCCGACCCCATCCAGAAGGCCTCCGTAGACTCCTTCCTCGTCGGGGCGCCGAGGGCGAAAGTTTGCAAGCTTCGGGCTCGAGGTTCCATAGGGGAACAAAAAGTGACATAAAAATAAAACACGGAGGTCCGCGCGGATTTCTCGGATCGGCGCTGGAGGCGCCGCCGGGGGGCCCCAGCGCCTACCCGAGAAATCCGCGCGGACCTCCGAGTTTTTATGTTTATGCCACTGTTTGTTCCCCTGTCTCAGAAGCCCCGCCGCTGCTGCCGAAAGGCCCTCCATGGCCTCGAAGAGGGCTCGGGGAGCTGCTCCTGAGACGGGAGGCCCTCGAGCCCTCGCAGGAGCTTCTCTTCGCTTGTCCCCTGCAGGGCGCGCCGCCGAGTCCCCGGATCTCCGAGGGTACGACGTTTTCCAGCTGGGCTGTGTCCCTCGACTTTTCGGCCCTCGTGGGCCGTTTTTTGCGCAGGGCCCATGGCGACGAAGAGTGGATCTGGGGGGAAGAAGCAGGAACGCTCCGCGCATTCCCACCAGCCCATCCAGGAACGCTGCCTTGAGTTGCCATCCTTCTCGGAGGAGCGTGGCATCGATTGGGTATCTCGGGGAGCCTCATTGCTTGGGATGTCTCATGGGGGGCTCTTGGTGGCCTCTTAGGGCGTCTTGGGGGCCTCTTGGTGGCTCTCGGGGCCTCTTGAGGTGTCTTGGGGGCCACTTGGGGTGTCTTGGGGGCCTCTTACGGGCCTCTAGTGGCCTTCTTGGGGCCCTCCTGGAGCCCCCTTGGGGGCCTCGGGGGCCTTCTTGGGACCATCTCGTAAAATATCAATGTAAAAAAGGGAGGTCCCTGATTAGGGCCTCCTCTCTGGAGTTTCAAATGTCGCCTCTTGACGCCCTCTTGCAGCCCTCTGGGGCCCTGTTGGGCTCTTCTTGAGGCACACTTGGGCCATCTTGGAGCCACCTTGAGGCTTCGGTAGTGCAGCAATGCATCGGTCTTCCAAGGTTTTGAAGGGATGTTGGCCTCTTGGGGGCGTCCTGGCGACGCTCCAAAGTCACTTCGACCCGTCTTGGAGCGGTCTCGGGACCTGTTGGAGAGCATCTTGGATACTCCAGATTTCGTAATAAAGGGAGGGGGGTCTCATTTCGGGGGGGGGTCTCTTCCAGGCTATCTTGGAGGGCCTGGGGGGTCTGGGGACGATGTTTTGGAGGGTTCTCCCACGGGGGAGGTCTGAAATGGCTTGTCTTGGAGGGTCCAGACCCCCTCCCCTTTATCACGAAATCTGGAGTACATGAGGGAGCTATCTTGGGCTATCCTGAACCATGTGGGAGGCCACCCTGCTCTCTCTGAGGCCCTCGGCGCCACCTCCAGGCCAGCTCGGACGCTCCAGCGACCAGCCTCCCCCCACCCGGACCCCTGGGGAATGGTGGGCAGGGGGAGAGGTCAAGCTACCCCCCGGTACGGTGGACGGGGGGGTCAAAGAAAGAGGCTCGGCCCCGGCTTGCACCGCAGCGGCAGCCCGCCGCCGAGATGAAAGCACACCTATGATATCGCTTCGACCAAGTCGACGCGATTGAATTTGGTGCAGATCCAATTCGATGCGACCTGCGAGTTCGACTCACCTTGGCCGAAATGCCAGAAAGGTCAAGCTGCCCCCCATCGAGGGACGGCCGTCTCGCCCGCTCCCAACCCGCCCTCCCACCGCGTCACTGGCACCCGAGTCTCGACATGGGCAGGGGCCGCCGTCTCGACCATCCTCGGGGAACCACCGCAGACGCCTAGCCAGGTGCGCCGCGCGTGCCGGGGCATGCTCGGCACCCCTGCCAGAGATCAGAGCAGATTGATCGCGGGACGCCCGCGCATGCTCGTTGCGCGAGAGTGCATGCTGTATCGCGTTTGGCAGGAACGATGGACTTGCGCGCAGCAGAGCATATGGCGGCATTCCCCTCGTTCCTACCGGCACACCATGCAACGTGATCGTTTCGGGCCCGCGCGTGGTCCAGATGTTGCCGCAACGTGCAGTTCGCACTGTTTCATCACAAGGGTGGTCGGTTGTTTGTTCATGGTTCCAGGTTCGCCCTCGGTCAGGTGGAGGTGGTGGCGCAGTTTAATTTGGAACAGTGATGAACCCATTCCCGAAGGGGAACAATGGGGTCGGAAGAGGTCACGCCCTAACCGTCCTAAAGGACTGGTTTGGACTACCCTTCGGGAAGCGGTCGGGACCTCTGGGGCAGCGGATTGGAGAAGTCAAATCGGCGGATGTAAGGGTCCTTCCCCGTCCGTTGGGTGCTCGTGTTGGGGACCTTCCTGGGGCCCACCTGGCGGATCTGTTCGATTCCAGTTGGGCTCTAGCTCGACCCTGGCTCGACTCAAGTTAGACTCAAGTCGACGGACGTTCGAAGTAGCATCGACGCATGAGTGGAGCGAGTGGCTCCAGGAAGGTCCCCAGAACGAGCATCTAACATCCCTCCCGTTCGTCCGACCATCAGTCGTACTTTCGGCCAGATTTTGTTGATCCCTATGTTGGCACCTCTTGCCTGGCGTATCACGTTTCGCTCCCTTGCTCGCCTACCAGTGCCATTATCGTCGTTTGCGTCAGTGTTGTGCCCCCTGTTCCCCCTCTTCTATGCGCTACATCCTCCTGCCGCCTGCCCAGTTTGCTGTTCTGATTTCCGGTTGCACGGTCGGCTTGCCCCAAGGTTTTCCGCTGAATTTGCCCGCTTGTCGACCGAGCTGAATTCAATATATTGAAGACCGTTGGGTGGGGTCGACATGTCGGTGGTTTACCCGAGTGGCACGAGTTTGATCGATCAAACGATGGCTCAACGGAGTCTGCGCTGTGGACGAAACTGGACGCCCCTGTTCGACGCTTGCTGTGAGAATTGGCCATGCCGTGTTCGCGCAAGCTGAAGGGAGAGGGGGATGAATGCTTAAGTCGGGCCTGTCCCTTTACAGGAGGAAGTTCAAAAATAGTAAAAAATAGTCTGGGGACGATTGTTGGACTAGTTTTGACTATGTGTCATTGTTCGTCCAAAATCCGCGTGTAGGAGGACATGCTCGACCTAAATGAATGCTGAGGAGGAGGTTGAGGTGGAGGGGTGTCAGGGGGACGACGCAGAATAGGAGAATGAGGGTGAGGAGGATGAGCTTGTGCGGATGATGATGGTATGTTCATGCCGATAAGCACACACACAAGCCGTACATCCAGCAGGACGCGTTGCCACGACAACCGTTTAAGGCCGCCAAATAATTTTCATATTGCAACACAGATTCGCGTTGGGAGAAAGAGAAGCCGAGGAGAGAAGACAAAGACGACCAGACTATATAGCAGAGGAGTGTTCAGATCTGTCGGCACAGTTTGCACACCTCTGAAGTCCATTGCTGTCTCGGCGGGCCGCGACGCCGGCGTTCAACCCAGATTTCCGGTGTGCCGTCTTGTTGACATACGAGTTGGCGAACGAGCGAACCAGGCCCCTTTGCTATTTTGCGGTGAGTTTCTCACTCTTGAAATAAGCGGAGGCTTTACACCCAAAACGCGCCGCAAACATTTGCAATGGAACGCATCGATTCTGCGTCGGTCATATTGTACAAGACACAGAGAATCAAGCGAACACAACAGTTTACCCAGGACGCCACTGTCGTATACTTTGTATTTCATTTTCCACCCCAATGCTGTATGTGACCACAATTTCGCGACCTGCTTGAAAACGCGCTGCGCTTCGCCCAGGCGCCGGGTGACCTCTGGTGCCCCTTTGCCATCACAAGTAAACATTCCGCGTAGATCTACTGCGTCCCAGACTGTTTTTATAGGGCCTCCATCTGGGCGAACTACCGTGCTGTTCGTCGATAAATGCATCTGTAGCGTGTTGGCCCAGTTCAGCTCAAGACCATATTTCTGCCCTTCCGCGACGATAGCGTTCAACATGTTTTGAATATTAGCTGGACTGTGTGAAACCAACAACGTGTCGTCCGCGTACAGGATGTCTCGTGTTACTACGTAAGCAGTAAGCAGGCTCAGCCTCAAAACTGATATCTTGAAACGCATCATGAAGCATGACTGATTGCACTGCGATAAACAAATAAGGAGAAAGAGGGTACCCTTGAGCGATGCCTGCCATTTGTCGTCCCTCTTGTGGCTTCCCAGTGTGGTCTACAATGGTGAAGTAACGCTCGGCATAAATAGCTCTGATCGTCTTCACCACATCTGAAGGAAGCCCAAGTCGTCGCAGGGCGTCGCACATGCTGTCCGGTCTGAGCCCTGTCGAACGCCTTCGCCCAGCCCAGCAGCAGCACGATGAGGCCACCGTGCTTGCTGTTGTGTGCGGCATCGGCCCTACGCCGGATAAGCACAAGTGCGTCCGCCGTCCCGCGCCCAGGGCGGAAACCAAAGTGGGATTCTCGCTTGCGGGTTCCAGCACCACCGCGAGTCAGGCCTTGATGTAGCATAGAGGCAATAATGTTATACTTATCTTGCAACAGAGATCTGGGTCTGCAGTTCTCTGGCAGAGCTGCACTTCCTTTCCTCAGCAACAGGACTACGCTCGAACGCCTCCAAGAACCAGGAACTGATTTCTGATCCCGACATTTGTCCGACATAAGTGGAGCATGATGGCAGAGGCGTGCCGGTGCGAACCCCAAGATCTTCCAGAAGTCTGGGGGGATACCGTCTGGCCCAGCAGTTTTCCCAATACGTAGCTGGCGCAGCGCATGGGTCAACTCTCCCACGGCAAATGTATCCGTGTCGATCGGCAACGATTGTCCTATGGGTGCACGCGCTTGTGGTGTGAGCTCTGGAAACCGGACTTTCCATTGCACGTTTCGAAATAGTTTGCCAACACATTTGGCCGTTCAGCTGTATCTGCGAGTGTTCCATCAAACCGCTTGACCGTCGCATGCTTTGTAATAGGAGGGTTCCTCAAATCGCGAACCACTTCCCAATCACCGGCTCCCAATATCATGTCCAACCATCATTTGCGATCTTGCGCTTCGGATTTCTGGATCGATTTGTGCAACTGTTTTTCTGCATTGTGATCCTTGGCTGTACGAGCAACGATTCTGTAGTCGATCAGATCGAGCGTGCGCTTGCTTGTCCACGCCTGCTAAGGTCTCAAATTCCGTGTGGCCAATGTCTCAGAAGTTTTCTCGAATCCATGTCGGAGCCAGTTGTTCAGTGCATTAACAGATTCAGTTTCAGCATTCATTGAATTGCAAACGGCCTCAACAAATGGTGGTGTAAATCGCTCTTTTATGTAAGGAGATTTGAGGCTCGCCTTGTCCACGTACTTTTTGTTAGAAGTGTCATTGTACTTGAAGGCCAAACTTGAAACCACAATGGTGAGGTAGTGATGTGTGTCAAGCACGTCCCGCCAACTCGTCCAGACATTATGCAAGGTGTGTAAAACCTTGCAGTGGCAGAGCGCGTGCTCTATCTGGTGTCATTGTCTGAAGGGTCGACGCCCAGATCTCTATAGGAAACGGTCATGCTTATTGGATGGTCGTGATACGTGTTAGCCACCAACAAAACACAAGACGTACACACTTTCACTAAGAGGCCCCTATTCGAAGCTGTATTCTGCACCGTGTTGTCCGCAACACCCGGGCACTGAAACACGTGAACGTCGATAATATATTCCTCTCCGGCTCCAACCCGCAAGAGCCTAGCGTTCAGCTGTCCGATGATGTACGTCGTGTTGTTCGCAGTGGTTGCTCGGATATGCGTCTGGAGATCCATATAGAAGGAGTGCCGCTCCTCATATGGACGACGGTCGTGCAGAGCATTTGTGGAAAGCAACGTTAACATACCACGTCTGATTTTGATTATGAGGGAGGCCACTTTGGAGTTACACGCCTTGAATGCGACGATGCTGTTCAAAACTCTCGGAGCCATCATGAATCCCACTCCACCGTGTGATTGGACTTCCGAGTCCAGTTCGCCTGAAAGAAACATGAAGTAGCTGTGTCGCGTATAATATTATGCCTCCATGTAGGTGCGTGTCTTAAATGCATAAGGTATGAATTTCGCTTGTGCGCATGATGCCAATAATGTCGTCGACCTTGATGATGGAGTCGCCACGTAGACCTTCAATGTTCCACGCGCCCATGCGGCCGAGGCAGCAAGGCCTGCAGGCAGACTGGGGTCTATTACAAGAGAGGTTTGAGGAATAATATTATGGAACAAGAAACCCTCCACTACGTGGTCCATGGGGATGGTCGGGTAGAGGATGTAGGAGTACAGGGTGTGGTGCAGCAGGATGTTGCAAGGAAGATGAAACGACCGCGGTCCGATAAGCAGCGTTCTGTATTCCGCTCTCTGCACTGTTGATTTTTTCTTTGCCCTCCTTCCCTCCCTCCCTTCTCGTTCCACCCCTCTTCCCCCCACCACTCGTCTCTGCCTCCTCCTGCTTTCCGCGCCGTGCATATTTTGTCCTTCATACCCCACTTCGTCCGCACTCCGCACCCTTCTCCTCGCCGTCACCCTTTTCGCCCTCATCCTCCTGCAGCCTGCTCGCAAAGGTATGCACAACGACACCCCGCAGCAGGGCGGGGCAGAATATTGGGCCTCTTATAACAAGTACCTGGCGCTCGTGGTGGCCGACTTGCAGGAGAGGAGAAGCCGTGCTCGACTCAGCGTTGCCCGATCGGAGGAGAGGAAAAGGAGCAGCACGATAAGGTTGATCATTCGCAAGAACAAGGGAACGATGAGTCGGAGCAGGGGTGGCAAAATGAGTTAAACGACTTATCGTTAACGGTCGGACCGAGTTATAAGATCTAGGTCGGTTCGGGGAGGGCACCCTAATGCTCTTCATAGGTGTTGGATGTGTTGTGCATCCTAGGGGAGGGTATCCTCGAATGTTCTTCAGTTTGGCCAGCGGAGGGTCTCGTGTTCTTAAAGGATGTTCTCATGTCCTATATCCGGCCGTATCGCGTGTATCCACTGGATTTCGGCCCATGAAACCGTGGCTGGAGTGTGGGCTAAAGGCCTCTTAGATGCCTGTGCTGCCTCAGGGGCTGCCTTTCGGGAGCGCGATTGTTGTGCTGCGGCTGCAATGCCGCGCCGACGTTGCATATATGGTGTCTCTCTTTGCTTAGGTCGCGGCTGGGATGCTAGTGGGATAAAGTTGGGTTAGCCACTGACGTGTTACAGTACCACGTTTGCATTGGCATATTGCTTTCATTGTGTTGTTGTCGTCATCCAGGGTGCACGTTGCAGCAAGTGCAGCCGTATTGGTATGTTACGACGGTTGTATTCGTATTGTTCCATTGCATCCAGATGTGTCACCGATGTTGTATAGTTTTGGTGTTGGCAGCAGCGGGTGGTCTTGAGTGCAAAAGCGGGGGAACATGTAGGATCATGCTCTAGCCAGCGTCTTTGAGAATCGTTCGTTTCAGAACGGGCCCCCCTCAGTTTTTTCGGTGCGGGGGTGTGCGATATGCAGGCGTGGGCACATCCCTGCGACAGCCGAGGCACGCCATCTAGCGTCCCGTTGCACTCGCAATGGTTAGGGACCGCGACGAGGATTGCACAGTTGTTGCCGTTGCCAGCGAGACCTCATCGCACGGTCCTACATGTGTTGTCCCATAAGATATTTTGAAGTGCGTGTCCGAGTCGTCAGAGCAGTCGTCTTGCCTCCAGCTGTCCCGTGGGATTCGTGATAGATGGACGCCTTGTGACCTTCAAACAGTACCACTGCAGCACCATGTGATCGTTTTTTATCCGCAAGGGCTTCGCCCCCTGCCGCCGGCCCCCCCTCTCTCGGAGAATGGGTACCGCAGGAGCGAAGTCATGAGGCCGTGGCGCCGCCGTGAAGGCGCGTCAGGACTTCACGCGAAGCCGATGAGTAATCGGCAAGACACACTGAGATTATGATCATATTGTTGAGTTCGGGGTTGTGTTTCGAGCTTGCTCGCGAATGCCGTGCAGAAAGCGTTTCTGCGAAGTATTGACATGTTGCAAGTCCCATGTGTGTGTATGTGTGTGTTTGACCATGACCCCGCCGATCTGCGTGAGGGGTGCCGCCGGATTTGAGAAATGCTGAATTTCTCCCGTGTTTTTGGACCCTGACCCCGCCGATCTGCGTGAGGGGTGCCACCGAATGTGAGAAATGTGGCAGATCCCCTTGTGTTTTTGGACGCTTTCCCCGCCGATCTGCGTGAGGGGTGCCGTCGAATTTGAGAAATGTGGCAGATCTCTTATGTTTTTGGACCCTGACCCCGCCGATCTGCGTGAAGGGTGCCACCGAGTTTCAAAATTGTAGCAGATCCCCTGTGTTTTCGACCCTGAACCCGCCGACCTGCGTGAGGGGTGTCAATTTCGACCCCCCCCAGGAATTCAGAGCACCCGCTTCGGGCGTGGTAACTAGGTTTCTTCTCGGCTCCCCCCCCCCTCGCGCGGTCCATCAACAAGGAACAGTAAGCAGCAAGAGGCAGAAGAACTGTAACAGTGGAAACTGGAAACTGGAACTGGCGCAGGGGACAGCAAGCCTTCATCCTACAGAGCCTGATGGCCCCACAAGGGGGCCCGCGGATTCCTTCTTTCTTCGATCGGCGCGGGCCTTCGCACCCCCCCCCATGGAGCAGATCTTGGCTGTTTTTGGCGCCTGTTTCGAGCAGGGGGAGTCTTCCCCCTAGACCGCAGTGTTGCAGACAGTCGCGTTAAGCAGAGGTCCGGAGCCAGACCCGCCCCCCCATCCACCCAGTGTCGAAGCGCCGACTGAGAAAACGCTCACGCAATATTCCCCTGTTCGGGTTGCTGCGCCTGACGTTGCCGCAGAATCCCCCCCCCCATGGGCAAGTGGCAAGAATTCGAGTCGCCTCCCACGATCTCCAGGGCCCCTCCCGCCCTCGTCCCTGGGGTGTGCCTGCGAGCAGTCAATGGAGAGGAAGCATGCTGCCAAATAATTCCCAGATGTCTAAAACATGTGTTAAACATGATTTAAACATGTTTAAGACATGTTTAGAACAGTTTGTCCGACATGTTAAACACATGTTGAATTCAATGGTAGGACTCTCAGGGTGTCCATTGGCGTGGCATCCACAGGGGAGGTGCAAGTCGGCGGCGAGATTCTGTGGGAGGCCCAGGGGGAGGGGCCCAGGTGCCAGATCGGACCCAGCGCACGTGTCGCCGTCGCCTGGCTGGCGCGCGTCCGGTCGGTGCCCGCCCGCCCTCCGCGGGCCCCCTCGGAAGACTCGGCAGTCCCCCGGCCGTCCGAGAGGTTCCGAGGCGGGAATCTACACCTTAGGCGATGCTTAAGAAAACCTAAGTTTTCGTCCAGAGTCTCGATTGTTCTTAACTTTTCAATGTAAATCCCAAGATTTTGATAGAAGTTCTGGGTTTTACTCAATTTCTGAGAGCATGAATTTCTTAACCCATGATTTCTTAAGCATTTCGCAGGGTGTATCCACATCCACCGCCTGGAGGGTCGGTTCTCGGAGCCTCGGCAGGCGGTGAATGTGGACATCTTCGGGCCCCCGGGGGGCCGAACTACCTCCAAAGCCACCGCCCGCGGGTGCACCAGGGCGTCGCTTCCCGGGCGGTGGATGTGGATAAAAATCCCCGCCTCGCAGAGGTGTTCTCTGAGCCTTCCCCGACGACTCGGAGAGATGCCTCCGAAACGGCGCGCGAGGCCCTCCTGGGAAGCACCGCCGCCCTCTGACGGGGACGTCGCCTGCTCGCTTCTCCGCCATCCCCGCTCGCAGAGCCCAGCAATGGGGGGGGGGAGGAGGGCGAGGGGGGGGGCGAGGGGACGGCGGGCGGCGAGCGAGCGAGCGGGGGAGGAAGAGGGCATATGGCGGAGGAGGCACGGGTGGGAATGCGGGCGGAGAGGTTGAGAGGGAGGATTTCAAAAAAAAACCCTTCGTTGCACGCAGGATTGCAAAACAAACCCTTCGTTTTTGGTTGTTTGCAATCCTTCGTTGCAATCCTTCGGTTTTTTGCAATCCTTCGTTCGGGAGAGGGAGGAGAGAGAGAGAGAGAGAGGGCTGCGTCAACCGAGCTGCCTTCGCGCCACTCGCCACTCGGCACTCGGGTGGAGGCGAGAGAAGGAGAAGGCTCTCTCAGGAGGCTCGGGAGTCCCCCGTCCAGTAAAGAAAGGAGTGAGTGGAGCGGGAGGAGCAGGAGGACCAGGGGGAAGGCAGAGGAGGGGAAATGGGGGGCGGCGACAGCGACGAAAAAGAATTCGGAGATCCAGACAGGTGGCCCGCGCTAGGGCGAGAGCGCCACTCTTACCGACGGGAGCAACACGCCGATCCACGAACGGGGTCCCATGCTGCAGCAGGGACAGTACTTTGAAACACCGAAGCAGTCGGATTGCAGATCAACGTGTAACATCACAAGTGCTCACATCTTGTGTGTGACAAGCAATACGCGCAGTGGCATGGCCGTTTTCTTGACGGAGTCAGGGGAGAGATGAGAGGGTAGGAGCAGGGGAGGGGCCGAGGGAGGCGAGGTAGGGCCAGGGAATGAGGGGAGGCGGGACTGTTTGGGCGTCCTTCCTCCTCTCCCCTCGCCACCCTCTCCTCTCCCGCTCTCCCCCTTTCCCCCTCGTCCCATCCCTCTCCTCCCTCCCCCTTCCCCCTCCTGCCCCCCGTCCCCTCATTCCCCCCTCTACCTCCGAAGTCAAGGAAGAAGACCAGTCAATCGATCGATCCACGAGTGGCCGACGACGGCGCATCCCTCGGCACTTTTCGGTGCGATCGCATGAACAGCCCCTGGGCTTGCCACTGGCCAGTGCTTGCTGGGCTTGCTGAGTATAGATCTTGAGCCATCGCTTCCCTGGACCTCCGGCTTTGTGACTTGTTCGATGACGTGGGAATTGGATGTCTGGACCTTCTCCCCAGGACCAGTTTGTCATCCTGAGTCGTTTGATGAGGGCCCCCGGAGGCCAAAAACGGCCAGAAGCCCGTCTCCGCCATGATTCATCCACGACGAGAGGAGGTAGGGGTTGCTGGGCTGACTGAACCTGGATCTTGAGCCATCGCCCCCTCCCCCTCGCCCTGAGCACTCCGATTTCCAGCTTCCAGCATTCGACCTTCTCCTCCATCCTCAACTACCGACCTCCAATGTTACACACCTGCGCCTCGACTCCTACTTTCGACCCAACCCGCTTGACCTCCAGCAAGCACCACGCCGCAGAACTCCAGCCCCTGACACCACCTCAGCACTCCGAATTCCAGCTCACGGCTTACAATCTTGACGATCTCCCTGTAAGTCCGACTTCTGCAAGGTTTTAGAGGCCACGGCTTTCGCACAGCGCTTTGCGAAACGATGTTTCGTTTATTTTTGGACCTCTCTCGGAATCTCTGGTTCCGAGTTGCCCCTGTCCTGTGCTTGTTTGAGGACAACTCGGGACTCTGCCGGACCAGGCGGGATGAAGCGGAGTTGAGCGGGGGTATGCCGGAATGGCTCGGAGGTTGGTAGACCTCCTACCCTGACATGTCGATGAGTGAATTGGCCGTTTTCGCTTCGCGAGGGGGCGTCGCGGCCGTTCTTTTTGCAGGTCCAGGTCCGTCGGTTTCGGTCCCAGGCCGTGCTCACTGAGGGGACGTCTACAGTGAGCGGCTTGAGTAAGGAACACTTGCTTTTCAAAAGGGGCTCGGTCGTTCCCTAGGTTTGCATGCGTTATCCATCGTTCCGGATGCATCTTTCATTATTTATCGTTTCTTATGCATTGTTCCTTGGAAAACGAAGGGGCTTCGTTCCTTATTTCTCGTTCCTTAGGTCAGGCCGATGGCTGCACTAAGGGGAGGTTTGTCCACCGCCGAACAGCCCCGTTTCGGCAGAGGATGTATGCTCAGGCGCACGCGCTGCGCCGCATAAGCCTGCGCCTCGACGATCGACGTCCGATCCCGACGCCTGCGGCTGCCCCCCCCTCTGGGCGCCAGGGGAAGTGGGGCAGTTGGGGCGCTGAAGAAGGAACCTTTTTCGCTGGGCAGGGGCTCGGTGTTCCTTGATTGTTTGACAGCTTGCGTAAGGTTTTCCGCCAGTTTTCGATGGGCAGCCGAAGGTTAACTTATGGATAAAAAGGGGCCTCGTTCCTTATTTAGGGTTCCTTAGGTCAACGCCCCGACTGTAGGGCATGGATAACTTGGTATCGCTCGGACGTGTGCACTTCTTCTCGGCGGGGACTCTTAGGAGCGTCCTGGCTCATCCTGCGGAAAAAAAACCGCGCACGACACCGACAAGAGCACAGCGAAGGGACGTCCGAGCGGTGGCCAGAGGAACAAACGTGGTTCCAGAGGCCCGCACCTCATCCATCCCGCCGCTCTGGCCTCTGGTGGGGTCGGGGCGCGAGCAGGGGCAGGGACAAAACATGTCCATCGCCCAGCACTGGCCCCTCCCTCGCCCCGCCCGCCTCTGCCCAGCGAGACGCCAGGCACCGCGGGGGCGTCGCAGGGCTGACGCGCCGCGGCCCGCCGGGGGCGCGCCCCTCCCGCTGCCCGCCGGGCTCGAGGCGGCTGCCTGCAGGACCGCGGCCCGCTCTCGGGGGCGGTTCTCGGCAGCGCTCGAGCGCGCGTTCGGTGGAGGCTTTGCGGGAGCCTCGTGTGCCCTGGAGGCTCCGTCTTTGCGGGTGCATTCGTGTGACCTGGCGCCTGGCAGTCGATGAGAGGGCGCCGATCTGCCGTCGAGTCGGCCTCGACTGGCGTCGACCAGCGTCGACGGGCGCAGGTTCGCAAGAGCCAGCAAGATGGTATGGGAGGCTCCCATGAGTTGCCACAGAAACGTGTGAATTTGTCTCGGCGAGACCAGTGCTAGAAAATTTGGACCATCCTGGAGCATCTAGGGTATCTTGAGGAAACAGCGCCGACGAAACCAAACAATGCACGGGTAATGGCCGAGATCCGCCCGAAAAATGAGGCCGCTCAGGAAAGGGGGGGACTCGGGGATACCCTATCGAAGATGTTCGTATATTCGACAATTTGGCCCAAAGTGCTTGGTCGATTCGAAAATTATCAAGTCGGGGATGGGTCGCGATCTGGGGAAACGTCAGGGGGGCAAGCTTGGGGTTTGAGGTTTGTGCTGGTCGGACGTGTTCGTGGGTTCTCGTGGGTTTTGGCCTCGGGGTGCTGGGGAGCCGAGCTGTGACCCGGAAGCCACAGGCTTTGGGGGATGCGTAAACCCTCGATCGCCCATTCTTCGCCGATGGGCGCACGATCGCCCGCCACGCCAAGGACCACGTGGATTCGCTACTGGGGCCAATCGCCGACAATTCGGCGCTGTATCGCCGATGATTTCAGCTCGATGTCCGCCCCCCCGAGCCGGTCCCTCTTTGGTGTTCCCCCTCACTCGTGCTACCCTTCCGCTCGTGGAAGCGCGAATGTGGACAAAGGTGCGCGGTTCAGCGACGGGCCCCGTTTCCATACGGAATTGGCGTCATCCGTCGCCACCAGATGGCGGCACCTCTCCCCGATCCGTGGATCTTGCGCCTACGCGCGTGACCCACGAGTCCGTAATCCATATGTTGGCTTGTGAGCCCCCGTGGCCCTTGCGCTCATCCCTTGGAAGGTGTACCCCCACCTCTCGCTGCGAAAGCAGCACGACGGACGGCCTCGGCCTGTTCTCGGCTCGGGGGGGCCCTGGCCAGGCTCGGGGACCGGCGGACACCGGCGCAGGATCGAGAGCCGGTCCCGGGGAAGGGGCCCATGCCTCCAGGGGCCCACGTTTGCAGAAGTCGCGACGTCGGAGCTCTGGGGAGGAGGAGGAGGAGGAGGAGGAGGAGGAGGAGGAGGAGGAGGAGGAGGAGGAGGAGGAGGAGGAGGAGGAGGAGGAGGGGAGGGAGGAGGAGGAGGAGGAGGAGGAGGAGGAGGAGGAGGAGGAGGAGGAGGAGGAGGAGGAGGAGGAGGAGGAGGAGGCGGGGGAGCGGTGAGGCTTCGGGTTGCGCCCAGACGGTCCCCCCAGGCAGTTCTGGTTGGACTTACCAGCCACCCAGCTACAGTGCCGTTTTTAATACATGCTCCGCGTGCGGATCATGTATTGAAAATGCAGGGATTGTGTACTAAAATCAACGATGAGCTCATGCATGAGTTCATTCATACATTGATCATGTATTCAGAATCCTATATTTTTAAAAATCCCATGTATTAAAAACTGCCCTGTAGCCCTGGCTGGGGCGGTCTCAACATACTGGCGCCACCTCCAACGGCTCCCCTGGGACGCTCAGCGTGGAGATGCTGAGACCGCCCCGGCCTATGCAGGAGGCCCGCTGAGGCCAGCCGGGACTGCTCGGGGGGCCGATTGAGGCCAGGTGGGATTGCTCGGGAGGCCTGTTGAGGCCGGCCGGGACTACCTGGGGGGGCTGACTGTGCGAAACCAGAAGCCTCACCAGTCGGAGGTCCGAGGAGTTGGGAAAGGAGGGCTTGGCTGAGAAGAGGCTGGTCTGCTCCGCCCCGGAGGCGCAGTGGGCTGAGGTGGCTCCTTGTGGGGCGCCTCAGCCCCGGCAGTGGTCCTGGCCTCCTACGGTCCGAGGCAGGGGTTTATCCAAATAGCTCTGGAGGATCGAGGCGGGTTCAGTCAGCCCTAATTGGTAGGTCGATCTTGCCAGATCAAGGGTGCCCTTGTGTCCTGTGCCTCGCGACCCATGGCAATGTGACCCTCGGAAGGGTCTTGTGCCGCGTGTCCTCTCTAATCAAATCCGACTGTAGGGAAAGGATGGTGACGAAGACCGACAGCAATTCCTCTCCATGTTGCTCAGGTCTTCCTGTCGGTCGTTGCTGCGGACGTTGTCCACTTGAGGAAGGAAGTCGCTTGCCCAACAGCGGCCGCTGTCAGTTTGGACAACATCTGCTGGTGGACATCCTACCATTTTTTCCGTACCCATTCCAGGCGTCCAAAATGACAATTTTGGGGAGGATCGTCTCTCGGAGACCTCGGCAGGCGGTGGATATGGATAATAACATTCGGAGCCTCTTGAGGCCCGAGCGGCCCAAATCTTGGGCCAAAGTGTATCCAGATCCGACGCCCCCTGGTGTCCCAGGACACCGGTTCTCCAGGCGCCACCACCCTGGACTGCACGGTGGTCGCACGCGCTCACCGTGGTTGGCACGCGAGTTCTCGGGGCAATCGTTGGGCAGGCCGATGGCGAGGACGGCTGGGTGTTCCCCGACTGGCGCCGCTGCTTTGGTCCATTCGCAGGAGGAAGGTGAACAGGACTTGGAGCATGAGCGGAAGGGCTCTGCAGTTGGCATGGATTGGAAACCGTTGATCACAGCCAAGGTGTTACAGTAATCCTTCGTTTCCTTATTCATCGGTTTGCCGATCGGCGCAGGCCCTCGCACCCCCCCACACCCCCACGGAATAGATCTTGGCTGCTGTTGGCGCCTGTTTCAAGCAGGTGGAGCAAGCACGGGGGCCCCGCCTCCCCCCCTGGTGGACAGGCGAATCGCTGTTTCGTGCAGCTGTGCATTGTGTTTTCTGGGAAGCCCTCGGAAAAATAATGGCTCCAGGGCGCCGGATGCGTGGTAAAAAGCATACCCTTGGGGGTAGCCAGTTGTTGTGGGATCCTCTGGAATGGCAAATCCCGAAGATTCCGATCGGATCCAAATGGATTCTAATTGGATTCGTATTCTCCCGTAGGATCCCCTCAGAAGTCTACGAGTTAAGGTTCCGCGCCTCAGCCCGCCTATTGGAGGTTGGCCCTCGAGTGGCTCAGGGTCTGCTTGGTGCACCTCGCCGGCACGTGGTCGTTCGTGGCTCAGTTCCTTCGGTGGAAAACAGGACACCCCAGATTACCAGCCTGGAACATATCCCTATCCCCATGCTGGGCACGTCCTCATCACGATGCCAATCTTAGGGATCCCCTTCTTTTTGAGGGCGCACCCCTATGATTGTCATCGCTTTTTGGCGTGTCAATCTTAGGGATAGGGATAGGTTCGAGGCCGGTAACCAGGAGTCTCCCCCACGGGATCTCCCCACGGGATCCGGCACTGCTTCAGACAGCTGTGTCCAAGCAGAGGTCCGGAGAGCCAGACCCTCGCCCTCTCCCCCCCCGTTGTCGCCCAGCACAGTGACGATCAGGAGGCTTTTGGCCCCTCACAGGTCTGTCCCTTCTTTCTGTTTGTTGTTGAGCTCTCGGGGGTGGACAGACCTCCTACCCTGACACGTCGATTGAGGAATTGGCCGTTCTCGGTTCGCGAGAGGGCGCCGCGGCCGTGATTTTTGCGGGTCCAGGTCCGTCGGTTTCGGTCCCAGGCCGTTTTCGCTAAGGGGAGGTCTACTAAAGGGAGGTTTGTCCACCGCCGACACAAGTCTGTCCCTTCTTTCTGATCGTTGTTGAGCTCCAGTCGCACCGCCATGGACTGTGAGACTCAGAAGGCACAGCCGATCATGTCTATATCACGATGCCGTATACATTTGCGGTTCCCACGTTGGCGCTGTGATGCTGAAGCCATTGCCCTCGGAAATCAATGGCCGCCTCTGCAACGTGCTGCGCCATCGCGGGGCTTTCCTCGCAACTCGCTCTTGCCACACCCATCCGCAATGCAGAGGAAGTCGAGTCAGCGACTGCTGGGTCCTCACATTTGCCGTGAACGACCCGCCGGCATCGGTCGTTGGAAAGAGCCACGGAGAGCTGCGCGCGTGATGGAAGCGCATGAGGACTGCCACGAGGTGGTGGCAGGGAACAGGGAGAGAGAGGGAGGCGAGGAGGCGGAGGAGGCCGCGGCTGAAGAGGCGAGGTCGAGGAGAAGGAGGAGCATGAGGAAGAGGAGCAGCCGCAGCAACAGGAGAGGAGGAGCAGGTGCATCTCCAGGAGTTGGGGCAAGAGGAGGAGGAGGAGGAGGAGGAGGAGGAGGAGGAGGAGGAGGAGGAGGAGTACAACGAAACCACGGCGTATCGAAGGCCGTGACAGCGCGACCGCCCACAGGGGGCCAGCCGCAACAGTGGCATTCGATCTCTACATCACATAATCCTCCACACTGCACATTACATCCTTACATATTACATGTTGTTTCTTTTCTCTCATCCCGCGTCACGCATCGCGGCTTCGACGCCCGCATCATGCGCCCACCGCACCGGTTTACACCGCCATGTTGGCCAAGCGGTCCAGTATTATTTGCACGGCCATTTTGGCCCAGCATCGCCACCGAGACCACGTCGACTTCAAACCCTGCCTGGCATCGCAAGGAGAGGGAAAAGAGAGCAGTTGCACGAACACTCTTGCGAGTGGCCTCAGAGCGCACCCTCCTCGACCAATCGACCCACTAGCAGCTACACATGTCTCAAATTACTTCTAGACCAACACCACAGCGCACAGCAGCCACCGCGACATTCGATCGACACAGTGACCAGCTACACAGCCCCCGCAAGCCAAAGACAAAGGCAAGACAAAGAACCGACAGCGACACAACAACAGCAAAGGGAAATGCCCAACCTGGCAACCCATCGGCCACAATGGACGCGCCGAC